TTTTGCTCAGAGCTTTAAAATGTGTATCTATTAGTATTATTTTAATATCCTCATATTCAGAACTATAACTGTCTATATCAATAATGAAAATGAAATACAATACAGAAGCTCAAAGTTTGCTTTCAAGCACTAGATCAGGTGTGTTACATATCTGCTATTTGATTCTTTGCTTAATGCCGAGATACTTGAAGGTATTCTTTGCTCTTTTTTTTAGGACTATCTTATAAATAATATCTTAGCTTGGGTTTGCCTTCCATTTCCTGACAAGAAGATCTCAGAAAGAGTCCTCTAAGCTATTGTGCTATAGAGATAAAATAGAAATTATTGGAAGTGCTTTTGAATATAAATATGTCCCTGGCATATGAGTAGAAGGATTTTTAACCACTAAAGATGAGGAATTTATAGAATTCTTATTCTACCCAAAGCTTTCTTCTGTAGGTTCTTTTTCCTCATTTGAAGAGGTTTCTATAGAGAAGCTGCTGGGAAGTAAATGGCTGAAACAGTAACCCACTTGCATATTTTTTAAACAAGAAAGAAAGGAATTAAAATCTCCCCAACTACTTTCTTTTCCACTCCAATTTTTAGCTTAATTTCAGTTTTATCAGATTATCTGGAGCAGTTCAGTGAATTTCAGGATAATTAAGAAGATTCCCTATGACTTACAACCACTTGACAGAATTGTTTACTTATTCACCAAGCATTACTTTCCAAGCTTCTGTAGGAGTTAACTTTGATATTCATGAACCTGTATCTCTAAATGTCATTTTTCCATCCCTAGAAACAAATATATTTTATTTAAATAAGAAACTGGGTTAAATATATGTATTATTTACATTATCTTGCTTATGCTGAAAATCACAATGTTTCAATAATATGTTGTTAACAGAAATATAAGTTGACACAACTGTTCAAGAAATCCTAATAATTCTTATGACCAACTGAGTGATGTACTGCAGTCAGTCTATAGGGATATATTATACATATTGTGTTGCATTTTATTTGTGTCTGGTATTTAGAATTCCAAACTTCCTACTTCTCTTTAAATCAGAGATTTCCAACCTTTTGGGCACCAGGGACCGGTTCCGTGGAGAGAGGTTTTTTTGTGGACCGGAGGGGACGTGGTTTCATGTACAGTCTGCATTCCGCAGATGGGGTTTTGCTTGTTTGCACGGAACGGTTTCTGACATGCTGCAGCCCAATGTAGGTCCACGGACTGGGGATTGAGGACCCCTGCTTTAAATGACATTACTTCACTGAACCTAAGTATGGTGGTAGGACAAGATTTTTTCTGACATTGATAATTACTTCACATGTGCCAAGAATAAAACTTTATTCACCATTCTGAATGCTAGATATGGGAAGAGAGGAAAAGTTAAATTAATTTTAATTTCTTTGACAAATATTTTCCTGTCAACTATCTGATATGCAAAAATATTAAGCTGCTTGCCACTTTTAAAAGAGAAACCTTAATAGAAGGAATATTGACCACCACTAAGCAAAATTACCTGTATTTTCAAAGCAAAATTAAATATATTTCTCTCCATTGAGAGATAGTTTTTAGTGCATAGTTTAATGATTGTAACAAGCTCAGTGCTTTGAATGTCATATTCACCAAAATGAAAAAGTGTTAGTATGCTTGTGGGAACTATTGATATTTCTAGAATTATTAAAAATATATATTTAGCAAAAGAGATTAGTGGGGTTATTCTGAAACTCAGACAGATAACTGATTGGACATGCTGGAAATTGACTCTCAGCATAACACATTTGTCATTCAATTGCAAGGTTCAGTTTAAATTATAAACAACCTACAGATTTCAGATAAAGGAACATCTTTTATTTCACTAGATCTATTGTACTCTTCAGTTAAGTCAACAACTGTCTTTCCATTAGCCAAAAAGTACTTTTTGGGGATCTAAGACACAACACTGTATATGTGATCTTGAGCACCTAAAAGAAAAGTAGGTTATAAATCTACCAGACAAAAATTGAACTAGTACTGGGCTGCAGCATGCCAGCAACCGGATCGCACAAACAAGCAAAGCTCCATCTGCGGAATGCAGGCAGCACACAAAACCATGCACTGGTCCAGTCCAAAAACCTTTCTCCATGGAACTGGTCCCTAGTGCCCAAAAGGTTGGGAACCTCTGACATAGGACATAGCAATCTTTATGGAATCTTCTCTTTGGCTACAGCAGAACTTTGGATGTTGTTATTATTTATTTCATGGAGCAATCCATAGATTAATAGTTTACTTAAACTATATTTATTTTCTTACAGATAATTCCTGTTGATTCAGATATGCTTTTTGGGTACTGTCTAATGCTTCCAGCATATTCATTTGAATTCCATCTTTAACATGAAGCATGTTAGTATTACGCCCAAAGATTAGGAATCTTATTTTCAGGGAGTGGCTTACTTGAAAGATCTCTTTGATGGCTATTAAACAACTTACTTAACGAAGCTTTGCTTTTGAATTTGTAGTTGCTTAGTATAAAACAGGAAGGAATTGTAATGACAACACTGAAGTTTGGCGTGGCTGGTGAAATGGAAACATTGATTGTCTGCTTGGAATATAATACAGTTTACAAGTGAATTATTGTTTTCTTGCACATTACAAGCTGGCACCCATGAGGGTGCTGGACTTCTATCTTCAACTGACATGGCCTGTTATGAGAAGATTAGACCATCATTAGGTTAGAGATGGTGGATGTAGTTTCTTGAGAAGAAGAGACTATTCTGTTTAATGATTATTAATCAGACAACTTTGTAAGATTGTTGACTTCTAATTTTAGTTTTAGTTAGAAATGTATTATGAAGATGCATGAGACAAAAACAGCATATTTTCTGAGGAGAGTACACTGGTTATCTTTTGAGTTACCAAGGAGAACACTACATGTATTTCAAAATGTTTTCTATTTTAAGGATTGTTCCTTGTAGTAGTCTGACAGGATATATTTAGCAGCTGCAGAAGTTTTTCTTTTTCACTCCTCCTACGTGGGAAAGTTCATACTATTTTATTTTATGCTAGTATGGTTTTAAATCACAGTATAAATTAACAAACTTCATGACAAGATGGCATCCCTCCTCATTTATGGTGTTTTGATGGAAGGAAGATAAGTAACAGAATCTCCCATATGTAAGAAGTAAAGGAGAGCCTGCTGTTTTAATTTTGTTCCCAGTGGTAGGCCGAACTTTGTTCTTTCAGCTCCAGCCTTGGTGACTGGTTTGATTATAATCTAGAAATTCAGTCCTTTGCCTAGAATTTGTAGCCCTTAATGGAATCTCTAGAAAGAGGAGATATTTCCTGCAAGAATGAAGAGTAAATAAAATTATTAATACACAGTTGTGATTTATATACAGATTGATTCCACTGCACATGGTTGTAATGCTGAAGATTTTTCTTGTCTTTAAATACTATCATTTGATGCATTATTCAAAAGAATTTCATTTAAATTTATCAGATATAAAAAATCACTGCTTCAAAACATTTAAAAATCCAAATGCATAAAATGTACACATGCATGATAAAGAATACAATAAATGGTCATGCTTTATTAAGTTTACAGTGTTACTGTTGTTTCCTAGCAGTTGAACAAAATATATGTAATGTGGTAATTAATGGGCCTCAAGAATTTTAGGTCAGAACTAGAACTAAATAGAAACGTTACTGTGACAGGCCAATAAATTGAGAAAGATATTTTTGAGATTGATCAGTCTAACCCAGGGGTAGGCAACCTTGGCTCTTTTATGACTCGTGGACTTCAACTCCTAGAATTCCTGAGCCAGCCCTGGCTCAGGAATTCTAGGAGTTGAAGTCCACGAGTCATAAAAGAGTCAAGGTTGCCTACCCCTGGTCTAACCCAACACAGAGAAATGCTCTTTTTCTCCTTGCTATGCCCTTGGTGACATAATATCTTGTCCCTTCTGCTTATATTTTTAAATTGCTGTTTGCTGTTGTGGTGGACGGATAATTGTGTTTAAAATCTGATTTTTTCTCTTAGTAAGGAATATGTATATGTATTTAAAGAATAAAATCAGAATATTAGTTATTCCACTTCAAAACCACAGTTTCTAAATTTCTCCATCATGATTAAAGTATCTGATACATCTGACTGTCAATCTAGCTTCATGCTGAGATTAAAATAATTCTGATTAATTTTTGAAGTTTCTTTTTGGTTTTTTTTAAAACTTGTCTTAGCATTCCTTCATCACTTTTTTTACTGCCGTTTTTAGAAGTTATTGATTCACAGAAAAGTCTCATTGAGCCTGGAATTCTTCATTAACAGTATAGCTTTTTTAAAGCAGGAAAATATTTTTAATTCTAGTACTTTATAATTGATGCTTGGCAAATTCTACATACTTTATGTTATGTTGTTATACACTATGTTACTATAAAAAGATAAAATCTGCAAATGTATTTGGAAACTTGCAGATTGCTTGCAAAGTTGAGTAAATTGGCTTAAATAAAATCATTTTTTAATTTTTTTCATGATCTATCAACATGATTACATATAGTAGTTAAATGTAAGAAAATACTTTGGATAATGAGAGGCTTTCTCATTTATTTGTATTTCTTGTTTAATTATTTATACAATTATTTATATTTATATCATATTTATACAATGATTTGGGCAGGACTGCTTCATACTAGAGAATAATAGTGACTGAAGCAATAAGCAAATTGTTATTGAGCTGAAGATAAATTGTAAAGCTTAGAATTTTGCAGTAAGATATACAGTTATAGATATTAAACTACTTACATAGCAGTATGGTTGGCTTCATTTTTGAATATGAATCTTGTAACTGGGAATGAAAAACTGCTCAAGGTTTATGACAGCCATCATTCAATTTGGTCTTTCCCAAATTGCTTTGAAAGATGGGAATTACTCGCTAATATATCTCCGTGACACTAGAATAAAGAAAGGTATTAATGAGAATGGGCTTATGAGTTAGACTAGAGGTATCTAATGATTTCTTTTTCTTGCTTTATCTTTCAGGTCTACGCACAACGAACTAGAAAAGAATCGGTAAGTCATTAATGAACAGATTTCATGAACTGCAAACCTCATTAATATTTTAATTGTTAAAACATTTAAGTCATCCTATGGTGGTTTCAGGATACTCAATCTAATGTTTGCTAGGTAGATTGGACTATGATTATCAACATTCACATGACCAACTGGCTAGGGAAGATGCAAATTATTGTTCCAAATACCTCCAAGTCAGTTATTGGAAAATATTGTTTTATAGGTTTTGGTAGCCTGAAAATGCTATATCCCACTACATGATTGTTTAAAATACAGACCTTAAAATGTTGAGCTGGTGTCCATCCTCCTTAAAATGCAAAGAAGTGACCTATTTTTACAGCTAATCTGTATTCAGAGAAAATACTGTTTCTCATTGTGCAAGCTGAAATCTGATTGAGTCAGTGTCCATACAGAAGATTGCTAGGGTATCAGATTTCCAAATACTGGTACATATTAGCTAAAGAGCTTGTGTGTTTGTTTTTGTCTTGCATTCTCTTCTCTTCTGCCTCTCAAACCTGTCATAATATCTGCCTCACTGCAGAAAACTTTCATTGACCAATGGACTCTAGTTTCCTGCTGTTCCTTGTTTTGAGAAACAGTATTCTGGTAACATGTTTTAGGACATAGTCTAATCATCCTTGAGCCACACTGTCATAACACCTGCATTTTTGTTGCTTCACTAATTCTACCCTATGATTCATCACCTTTGCAACAGAATGGAAATACTGTTGGGAGAACAGGGAGTTAGTTCACACACATATCAGGTTAAAGCATTGCTTTCAGGATGCTATCATTGTATCAGAATCCTATTTATGCATTTATCTTCAAGACTGGAGAGGAGACAGTTTGGTTGAATCAATAGTCTCAGACTCATTACTGGTTCTATGGAAAAGGAAATGAAGAACATAGAAGAACAGATTATTTGAATTTTATTTAGAAGAGCACACTGCAGGATTACCTTGATTTAGCATGGCAGATAAAGCCAGCCTGGAACAGGAGAAGTTACATACCTGCATTCAGTCAAAAGGCCAGAATCCCCATAGTGTTTTTGTTTGTTACTGATTTGCTGTTTGACAAAGAGTGTACTTTGTATATTTCCTGTATATGTTTACTTCCTTTTTGCAGTTCTGTGGGCTGGGTGAGCTGTTCTTTTAACTCAGCCTTAAGATTTATATTGTTTTAGGTCTAGTTGTGTATAATATTAGCGTGATTTTCAGGAGAAACAGAATTTTGGGAAAAAGTGGGATACTTTTGAAAGGCAAAGAAGGCAAAGTACTATAAGGCTAGGTAAAAAGAGGCGAAAGGAAATTATGGATCAAAAATTACTGGTGACAAAAAGTGGGTCTTGGATAGAGAGTAAAAATGATGCTAACGGTTGCCAGTGAGTAAAAAACATCACAAGAAAGACGTGAGTGAATACTCCATATCTGCACACTGATATCATGTGAAGAAATTCAGGAAAGTGAAACAAGACTTTTTTGTGATTTAAGTGGTAGAAGGTATTCATATTAGATATTAGAAAAATATGAGCAAGTAAGATTAGCAAAATGATCTTTAGCAAATGATCTAAGATAGCTTTCTCCAATCTAGTGCCCTCTTGATGTGTTGGATTTCAGATTTCACCATATATAATTACCTACCAACATTACCATGAGCTATATTATAGGTAGTGTGCAGCACAATTCCTATCATGGGGAAGTTACTACATTGTAAAACATAACATGGGTGAAAAAAGAGAAGTGGCAGAAATAAATTATGTGGAGTGCAAAGTTTGTAGCCCTTAATATTAGTGAAGCTGTCGTACTAGCACAGCTATAAAGCTACAAAGCTTAGCATGATTCCATTCTGTGTTTTAACTATTGACTAGAGATGGGAAAAACATTTAAGATCAACACTTTTTAGAGGAGCATCAGTTTTGATTTTGGCTATATTTCCTCCATGCCCCTCAATCAGTAGCTGATTTGAACATTTCTAAGCTATGGCTTGTTGTAACTATTGAAGTGTTAAACAAAGCAAAATGTTTCACATAATGTTAAATAATCAAAATGAAGGTTATATATTTTTTTCTGCTCTATAGTATTTTGAATATAGTGAATGTGTAAACTCAGACTGACTGGTTCACACATCAAGGTAAGGTTTAATAGTTTGCTGAGTAAATTATAATGCTGGGTTCATAATTGGCTTCGAAATCAGATAATATGGTATAGGCTGAGGAGTGAATTAGTATGTATATGTGGTGGAGCAAGAACAGTTGGAATGTTTTTCTTTGGTGTGGCCCCATTTCTCTTTGAATATTGCAACCATGTAAATAGGGATAACCTCTTCCTAGATCTTTCCAAACTCTTAAGTTGTCTCCTAACAAGTAGTTTATTAGCCATAAGTACGCTTTTGTTCTGTCCCCTTTCCACTTTTTCTGACGTTTCTTACAGAAATTTGTATGTTTGTTTATAGAACTCTCATTTGGAATTTCAGCTTCCTAATAATTTATTCATGATTGCATTTATTCAAATGTCCTCTCTAAAATTCAGAATAATCTTTCATCATCTCACATTTTATTTTTGTTGAATATCTCCTTCTCCATGCTCGGTTTATTCAAAGCTTTCAAAATGATAATCAACTCATTTGCTACGTTCTGCCCACTTTGATCGTAAGAGTAATGGCAAAAATGGTCAGTTTACTAATGCCTAAACTTAGAGCAAAGTTTACTGCGTATTTTCTCAACCCATCCACCTTTTAACTCCAAGAATTTTCAGCAGTCTGTAGATGTGGTAGAGCAAGATCAGTTGCTTGGCTGGAAATTCTGGGAGTTGAATCTGGTGGAAGATGGAAAGAATTTTGCTACTTCTAAAAAAGCTTTACTTTTATATATTAAATATTTTTAGAGGATACAATAAAATGTTACAGAAACTGGCACAGACTCAGCATTTGTGCATCATTCCTCTGACACTTGTTCCAGTGGAATGAAGCATATAAGCAGTGATGTGTTGAGAGGGAGTGGCAGGGATCTATTCTTTTTCGTTGGCCCATTCTCCATCCATTTCTGAGAGTATCATTTTATAGATACTTCAGCTTACAAGCCAAATAATTAACATAGTTTCTTGAGAATCTATTGGTACACATTTATAGGTTCATTTAGTGACTGTTCAAAGTTACAACAGCATTGAAAAAAGTGACTTATGATAGTTTTTCACACTTATGACCATTGCTGCATTCTGATGGTCACATGATCAAAATTCAGATGCTTGGCAATTGACTCATTTATGATGGTTGAAGTATCTCAGAGTCATGTGACCACCTTTTGCAAACATCTGACAAACAAAGTCAATGGGGAAGCCAGATTCACTTAACAATCATGTTACTAATTTAACAACTGCAGTGATTCACAATAACTGGCAAGAAAGGTCGTAAAATGGGGTAAAATTCACTTCAACAAATGTCTCAGTAGCCAAAGCTTTGGGCTCAATTATGGTCTTAAGTTGAGGACTATCTGTACACTACTGGAGGTATCTACCTCTGGACTCTTGTGAAAACAAAAGGATTCCTTCGTCAGGTTTTGATTGCTTTCCATCTGTAGCCTCTTTATGTCTGCAACTGTATCCAGACTTAATTATGACAAAAAGAAAAGGAACCTAATGGCATTTTGGAGACAATTGCTTATTTTGGATTTTTTTGGGAGGGGGGGGGGAAACTAGAAGTAGAAATGACTTTTTTTGAGGCTGTTTGTTATCTCCCTTATTGACATAGTCTGTAATTTTCAAATTGTCCATTAGAGTAGTTACTTGTCTGATGTGATATTTGAATTATATTAGAATTCATTTAGATCAAAAGAATGTAGTTTTCATAAAAAAAATAGGGAACTCAGACACAGTCTTTTTTAGATTTGTAATCTATAAGACTGTCTCCGGACCTGAGCTTTCTTCTGAATTAGGCCTTAGCTTTCTCGTTTCTCAATTCTTTATTGCAGTGTACAACCCAGACAATTCATTTCTGTTGTGTGTTTATTTTGAGAAACTCACTGTACCTTTTCTCCCTCCATGGTCAAGTTTCTGTGTACTTTTCCTTCTAAGCATGGCTTTTCTCCCCCATGCACGCAAATATAGCATAATGCTAATTAAGATCAAATATATATCTATTTTTTGCAGTTACACAACAGATATTTTCGTACCTTTTAGACCAGAATTCCACAAATATAATAAGCCAATTTATTATACCTAGACTGAATAAAAATTGTAAATGTTTTTATATCAGGTTCTTATATTTAAAACATACTGAAGGTGTATTCATAGTTTTAAGTAAACCCAGGGCTTTTTTTCTCATAGAACGCCCAGAACGGAGTTCTGGCACCTTTTTTGGATGGAACCTTATAAGATAGGCAAGGCGGGTTATATAACGTGTGTGAGGGTTTTTTTTTTAGAAAAAAAGCACTGAGTAAACCATTAACATTTCACAAATAAAATTATTACAATTTAAAAACTTGTAGAATGTTACCTCTAGCCCTTTTTCATGTGATCAAAACCTGTTTACCAATGCCTTCTAATTTCATCATTTGCTTAACCACATGGTTGCCTTATTAAATAAAGGGAAGCAGTCATCATGCTTGACTTTAATCAAGGTCTTCTATCCTACAAACTCTATGTCTATATTTGCATCCCTATTGCTTGCTCTTTCTAATTGTCCAGTTTTGCCTGTTCTCTATTGAGGAGATATGTTTTCCCAACTCCTCCTGTTAGTTAGCTGCTCTTACTAATGACCATAGGTTTTTTGTTTGTTGTTCTTTTTGCTTCTAGTTTTTTCTATTCACATGGTAATCCCTCTTTAGAAATCTACAATCATGGGAGGGGTACACTTAAAGCGTATATATGCGAAACTATGATGCTTAAGGAGAAAGTTATATTTTGTATGTCTGGAAACTTTAAAATGTAGATTGAATTTAAAGACACCTGCATTCTATACTATTTACATTTCATGCACCATGAACTTATTCCTTGTCTTCTGAATAA